TTAGGGCCGGCCCGCGGGAGGAGTGCCTCCTCGCTGGAAGACGCGGACGATCTGGAGGAAGAGATGGAGGCGATGGTGATCCGAGGCGGTGGCTGCAAGGAGCAGGAGCTGACCTACGAGCTACAGCAGGGCTACCGCATCCTGGGCGAGTTCCTGCAGGAGAAGCACCGGAGCCTCACCGCCCCCTTCCTGCAGCCCTTGGGGGGCGTTGCCATCGCGGAGGAGGAGGTGACGGAAGGGTGGCGCAGTGGGGGCCGGGGCGGTCGCGCCCTCCCGCAGCAACCCCGGCAGGGCATGTGTCTGCTGAAGATGGAGGAGAAGTTCGCCAGCGGCCAGTACGGGGGCATCACCGAGTTCGTGGCGGACTTCAGGTTGATGCTAGAGACGTGCTACCGCCTGCACGGAGTGGACCACTGGATCTCCAAACAGGGCCAGAAGCTGGAGATGATGCTGGAGCAGAAGTTAGCGCTTCTTTCTCGGTAAGCGAGCCCCGTCCTGGTAGGGCTGACAGACTGACACAAACACACCCTCACACGTGTCCGAGGATGGGCTGGGCCAGGGGCCGAGGGGCGGCGCTCATAGGTGCTAAGTTGGTGCTGGAGAAGCCTGGGAGGAGGAGCGGGTTGGGCGGGGACCGGAGGGGTGTGGTGGGTGTGGGCCGAACGCGAAGTGAGCGCTGGCTGGGAAAAGCTGAGAAGAAAACCGGGGTATGCAGCGACGCAAAGCTGTGTAAAGTTCGCAGATGTAAAATGAAGTGGGTCCTGTAGGAAGAATTGAACGTGTAGGCAGAGGAACGGTTTTTGTGGGATGGAAGTTGGACTTGCAACTTTTAGACAGTTTTAGCATGACATTTAAAACAGCATTTAGGATGAAATATGTCTCGGAAAGTAATTTGGGGTCATGTAAAAAGAAGCCTGAAACCATTAAAAAATAATTTTATTTCTCACTACTCATGTCGGTTATCGAAGATTTAAGGAATGTTACTAAATGGTTAACGGTTACTCTGGCATACTGCTTACTGATCTTTTCTCTGTGTTTCATTAGAGGACGCCTAATTTTTGCAATGATAGGAAATGCATCAACACATTTTTTTTTAAAGCTTACACATTTCTGTTTATTCTACATACGCAAGTCAGATGGCAATGTGCTCTTGGTATCTGTCACCCATATATTCCAATTATTTAACACAAGAGGAGAATACTAAAATAAATGTATTGTTTCACAGTTGTATAGTCGATGTCAGCCAAGTTAATTTCTCAAGTTTAAATTTTTCGGGAGTGGAAAAATAATTCAGTGATTTTAGAATTGATAGTTGATATGGAATAATAGTTTACTATCAGAATGAGGTTAAGTTGAGCAACTCAACCTTTTTGGCCTCAGTTTCCTCATCTCTCAAGTGGAGATAATAATAGTACTTCTCTCATAGAGTTGCTTTGAAGATTGAATGAGTTAATTAATGTGAAATCAACAGTGCTGGTCCGAGAGTTAGCCTGGTATAAGTGTTAGCCATTTTAAGTAATAGCAGTAGTTGAATAATGAGTGTGTTCTTCATATCTGAAACTGGGCATTATACTTGTGCTTTTACAGAATAGCTTTTAAAAAATCTGTTAATTTTTTGTCACTGTAATTTAAAAGTAATCTTTTTGTCATTGGCTTCCCATATGCCATTTTCAAGACTACCAGTGATTTTTTTTTTTTTCCACCAAAAGCAGTTAACATAGTGCCTGTCCTTATTAAGGGAGCTCTCTTTAAGGAACCTCTCCTTGAATCTTTTCATGGGGTTGTATTATTTAGTAATAGAATAATTATCACATATTTGATTTGTAAATTACTTTTAATACTTTACTAATTTTATATTTCTGTAATATGTTTGTTACCTTTGTCTCCACAGTGCATTAGTAATGTGACTCACATAAAAAACAATCCATTCACGTTATTATTTTGAAGTTATAAAGTATCCTCCTGATTGATGTCACAAGATTTTAGACCTGGAAAGGACCTTAGTATTCATCTAATCTATCAAATGTGGGAATAAGGATTTAGAATGAGGCAACAGAATGACCATATGAAAGTGCTTTATTTTATTTTTTATTTTTTTATTTTCCTTTTTTTTGTTTGTCTTTGTTTTATTTTTGTTGAAAGTGCTGAGATAGCATATGGGTTTGAATTACTGGTGTTTTCAGAAGCTCTGTGTGTAATTAACATATCTTTTTTTTTTTTTTTTTCTTTTCTTTTCTCTGAGTTACACTCTGTCTCCCACGCTGGAGTGTAGTGGCACGATCTCAGCTCACTGCAACCTTCACCTCCCAGGTTCAAGCAATACTTCTGCCTCAGCCTCACGAGTAGCTGGGATTAGCTGCCACCACACTCGGCTAGTTTTCGTATTATTGGTAGAGACGAGGTTTCGCCATGTGGGCCAGGCTGGTCTCTCGCTCCTGACCTCAGGTGTTCCGCCCGCCTCAGCCTCCCAAGATGCTACAGACCCCAGCCACTGTGCCCGGCCTGTAATAAACATTTCTTAGTCTTACAAAAGAGCAGACTAAGAAACTACATAAAGGCAAATTTCTAAAAGCTTAGCATCATCATTTTCAGTGGTTAATGCTCAGAATACTTATATTCCCATGTGATCTAATAGCATCCATGTTTGGAAATTAAACTTATAACATTTTATAGTTTATAAACATAGTGTACTTCTGACATTCTTAGGCCAAGAGAGATAAAATTCTTGCTATTTTAGTAGCAGAAAGTGGTATGATGAACTCAAATAAAGTTTGAGTCTTTCACCTTTTTGTAATTGATATATGCAAACACATCAGGTTCGTAAGACCACACTTGTGGATACTAGGACATCAGTTCTTCTATGCTAGCCTAAAATCAGAGTCATTACTAACCACTTCCAAGGGGCACAACTTTGAGAAAAGCATAGGTCTCAACTGTTTGGAATGCAACTAAGATACATATATATGCTCTAAAATAATCTATAGAGCGTTCATGGGAATATGATTTCCACCACATAGATGACTCAGATATCTTAACTGTAAATATCTCAGAATGGTATATGGTATTTTAGAAATGAAACCAATGAATCGCTTAGATATTTGAATTTTCTGTTGTCTTCTGGAATATATTTGTAAGATACAAGTAACTCTTATTTTCAAAGTGTAAAGAGACTTTAAAGCTGTTCCGTGTACTGCTGAGCTTTCTAGCGAGCAATAAATGAGGTACATTAGGTAAGGAGGATGCCACATTCTCGTTAGAGAGCAGCTCAATAGCGTTAGTTCCCTGGACACAGCATATAACTTGAATCTCAGTTTCTTTATCTGAATAATGACGTTTTAGGGTAGAATAATTGTGCAAGTATTTATGTGCTAGAATTAGGCATTCATGCCTCTGAGATTAAAAGTTTCCTACCCTTAAGTGGGTTATAGTTGAGTAGGAAAACAGATACTTAAAATAATTCTGTAATAAACATATGAACAAAGTACAAAGGGAATTTAAAGGAAGATGACATAAATCTGAAGCAGAAGGGGTGAATGTGGGGATGACAAGGGAGAAGAGGTAAGGAAAAGGACAAAGAGACTAGTTTAAAGCTATCATAGAAGTGTTTATGTTTGATATGATTCTTGAAGGAGTTGAATGTAACTACTGAAATTTTTAGGAGGGTTTAACTGGGGCATTCCAGAATGCTGAACTACAGTGAGTGCAAGGCATGAAGCAGCCTAGTATTTCTGGAAACTACAAATAATTCTGTGTGCTTAACTGTAGCTTCCAGAGTGGTCTCTGCACCTCAGGAAGTAGTCAGAATGACCCACTGGGGTGAGAGAAGAAAATATTAGAACTTAAGTTTGTTCTATTATTATTTTATCCTTTCGAAATATCTTTTTGTTTGCTTTTTGTGATGTTTAAACCAGCAATGCATGTATATAATATATAATTTATGAATATGATTTTTATATCATCTGTATATATTTTCAAGAGAAGTAGGACTAAAATTCAGGTCTGCTCTTGCAGTTTCCAAAAACTGATTAATACCCAGAATGAATTCCAAATTGAGCTATTGGTGTGTATATTTCGTTTTTCAAAGGTGATAACATATTTTGAAAGTCCTAACACAAATTTTTATATGTATCAAAAATACAGTTTTGACCACACATTACTATAGATACTATTTACTCTATTAGACAATGTATCTTTTCTCAAGAAAGTTCTATTTTAGAAGGAATATCATTCATCTATTTGAGGCAACTGTAAGAAATAGCAATTAACATTAGAAACAGGAAGGAGATCATCTAAGTGGAAAGGAATAGAAAATACTTAATTGTTAGGAAATTATGAACAGAACTTTAGAGAGGTACTCCCAAACTGATTTTTAAAGGATATTTTTGAAAGCTTTAAGAATATTGCCCTATAGCCTGATGATGGCTTTTCTAGTTTTAAAATGCTGTCATTGGAAAAGATGCCTCACCGGTGACACTAATAGAGCTGAATTTAAATTTTCAATTTTGCCATTTAAGATAATCGTGAAAATAAGCTTGTGTATATCTTTGTTAAAATTATTCTTGATTTTCATATTGTTTCTGTTAAAAAATATTACATGTATGGGATAAAAAGGCTTTCTTAAAATATAGCTGCAGATTATTTGGTTTTGTAATTGCTTTTTAGTTGGCAGAATATTTTTTGGATTTGGGTAAGAGTATAGCATCCTTGACTGAAAGCAGTGGCTTACGCCTGTAATCCCAGTGCTTAGGGAGACCAAGGCCAGGAGTTTGAGACCAACCTTGCCAACATGGTGAAACCCCATCTCTACTTTAAAAAAAAAAAAAAATTAGCCAGGTGTGGAGGCACATGCCTGTAACCTCAGCTACTTCGGAGGCTGAGGCACAAGAATTGCTCAAACTCACTGAGATGCTGCCACTGGACTCCAGCCTGGGTGATGGAGTGAAAAAAAAAATACAGCATCCTCATGAAGCCTCAAAAATTTAAAAATAGAGGTTTCCAAGTATAAGTAGTAATCAAATTAAAAATGAATTTTGATTTTAATACTTTCCTAAGTTAAATTTGAATTCTTACTGGGCTGCTTATCCTCAGTTAAGATCAAAATCTATAAATGGGAATTTTAACAAGTTGCTTATTTCTCTTCAGTAAGTCTAACCCATCCCACCTCCCACTGGATTCTGTAATTCTCTTTTTTATATGAACCTTTAAAAATTGGGGATCTTTGGTAATAGAATCTGGATTTGTCTCATGTTCAGAACATAGAGAATGTTAGAGTTTGATAGTCTATGTAGTTCTGTATATTGTAGTAGCCATTCTTTAGAAAATGGTGTTATTTCAAAAAGGTTCAGAAAATGTTTAAGTGCAGTAACAAAAGTACGAAACAGTTCAACTAACATGACATTTATTGAGCACCTGCTTTGTTCTAGGGCTTGGGGGGTAGTCCCTGACCCCAACAGGTTTAAAAGATGGTAGGAAGAAACACATAATACAGGTATAGTAAAAGGTAAAATATGTTTAAACCGTGATTTTCAAACTTGTTCCATTGTCAGAACACTTAGAAGTCATGGTACTCTTTGCACAACACCCTGAAATATATTTTAATTATATCATATGATTTTTTTGCTAGGACATCTTTTAGAACAAATAATGGAAGGGAGCCTGTAATTGAAGAGATTCTATTTAGTATCTTAGGTTTTTTCCCCCCCTACAAACTGGGAAAACATAATCACTTTTGGATTTTAGGTGATAAATCTTGGTTCAGCTCATGAATGACCATGTTCCAAGAAACATACTTTGAGGACTACTGTGATGAGCTATATTATAGAGTGCAGAGGAAGGATAACTATTGGGAGTGGGTAGCTGGGATTAAAAATATTTTGTTAGATTTTATTCAAGAGATTATAGTTTTTGAGCTAGGTTTTTTTTTTTGTTTTTTTGTTTTTTTTTTTGAGAAGGAGTTTCACTCATGTTACCCAGGCTGGAGTGCAATGGCGCGATCTCGGTTCACCGCAACCTCCGCCTCCCGGGTTCAGGCAATTCTCCTGCCTCAGCCACCCGAGTAGCTGGGATTACAGGCACACACCACCATGCCCAGCTAATTTTTTGTATTTTTAGTAGAGATGGGGTTTCACCATGTTGACCAGGATGGTCTCGATCTCTTGACTTCGTGATCCACCCGCCTCGGCCTCCCAAAGTGCTGGGATTACAGGCTTGAGCCACCGCGCCCGGCCCTTGAGCTAGGTTTTTAAGAGTGTGTAGCATAATGATAGGTGAAGATGTGTAGTTCATTGAACAATTATTTGAACTATTATGTGCTAGATAATATATAAAGCCTTGTAGATACAATGACAAACAGGACCTTGTCCCTTCAAGGTGATAGGTAAACAGAAACACCTAATTGAAAGTATGGAGGCAGGAGAGTACAGAGTAGTCCAGGGAAATGGTTTATACCCAGTGGTTAGAATATAGGATGATGAGAACATGTAGTGGCAGCTAAGTCTAAAAAGATGGTCTGGGACCAATTATAAAGTACCATGAATGCTTGCTAGGGAATTTAGAATCTAGGCACTGTAGATCCATCAAAGGTTGTTACTAAGGGAGTAATGTGATGATATTACTAGTAATATTTTGAGGCTTGAAGGCAGAACTGAAAGGACAATGAAGGAAGAAAACCAATTAAAGATTATTGAGTTAATTCTAATAAAGAGAATAAGCAGTAGGAATGGAAAGGTGGGCGGGGATACAAAAGATGTAAATTCAACAGGCATAATGGTAAATGGCAAACTGTTGAATGTGGAGTGTTAAGGAGTGGATGATGTCCAAAATGAATTGGAACATTTGAGCCCAGATGATGGTGATGCTTAGGGGACCTGAGAGGAGGCATTCATTTGAAGATATCCCTCTGAGAATTATAAGAGTGCATATGGAGGCCAGCATAGTGACAAAGGCTAGACATGTTTGATTAGAGGGTAGCTTACTGAGGGATGATAAGGAAATAAGAGTAAATGAGATTGCCTAGGACAGAGTCTAGTAAAAATACAAGGGAGCCAAGGGCAAAACTTTGTGTGAAGATTGAGTATCTTTGAACTGGAAAGAAAAAACTTTAGGATTATGATTAAAATATGTATAGTGTATATTAAAAGCTGAAATGCTTAATTTAGAAAAGGTAGTTAATGAAGGTGAAAAGAATTTATTCTGGAATAAGTAAAAGGTATTATTTGAAATATGCTGAATTTACAGATTATTATTTAAAGAGATTGTTCTTCCATTTGAAAATATTAATTTGAGAATGATTTAGAATTAAGACAATAAAAATGTCCTAATAGATTCTAATGTATTTTGCCTTATAGTTTGTTTCTCCTTGTATTTGTGCTCTTGTATTTATTTTTATTTCTCGGAAGAACACTAGAGCAGGGAGGAAGAATCATATCTTGGTGAGAAGATGTCATTCATTTCATAGTTGTATTTTAGCTTTCAAACCATCTTCAGGTTGTCCCTGTTAGATGAGAGTTGCCTAGAACAAATAATAGCCATTTTCATTTCCCAGGAACTTGTATAATAATATGAGTCTTAAAATTCATATTAAGTTACCAGAATTTTTTTTTTTTTTAATTGGGAAAGGCTAATAAGCCCCAGTGGTAATATCAGTCACCAAACCCTTTGTTATATTGTCTTCCACCTGAGACCTGTGAATGTTCCGGGAATGAGCATGCATTAAAATCAGAATGTTAAGTGTGTACACTTTGAAAAAAAATTTGGGAAAACCAAGAAAATGATAATAGTCATTGCTGATAAGTAGAAAGATCTTAGTCATTTTTCATTTTCTTCTTTTAACTTTTTTGTATGTCCTAGATTTTCTACAATAAACATATTTTATAGTAAAAAAAAGTATTTTATTGAAAGGAAGTTAATATTTACAATTTTGAATAAGCCATGTATGTTAAAAATTGAACACAGACACCGTACCCTCCCTTGAGAGATGGACACAGTGTTCAAAAGCATAATAGAAGGTAGTATTTGGTTAATGTGGTAAGACAGGTACAGTTCATTCTTTTTTGCATATCTTTACAATGCTTATTATTTGATAGGCACTATAGGGAGATTCAAAGATGAATATGGAGACACAAGTGGATAAACCAAGTTGATGTAGAGGTTACTTCAGGCAACAAGAATAGTATATCTAAAAGTGCAAAGGCAAAAAGAAGCCACTGTATGTAGCTAGGGAATGGCCAGCAGTTTAGTTTGGCTAGAGTGTAATTATATATAGAAAAGTAGTGACAGGTGTGACTGCAACAGCCAGATTATGTAGCCAGACACAGAGGGCCTAATATGCTGTGCTAATAAAGAGGTTGATATTCCATATTAGGGAGCTGTACAAAAGGCTTTTAAACTGGGGAATTACAAGGGACACAGATGAAATGAATTAGAGAAGGAGAAAACTAGACTCGATTTGAACTTTCCCATCCCTTAATTTTCAGTTTTGCTTGTTCTTGACTTCCAAGTTAAAAGAATTGCATTGGACTCTGTTTCTTTCAGATTTGGTGATTATATTTGTAAATGTATCAGGAAAAATTAGTTTTGTATATTGCAGAAATCCTAGAGCAATGCTAGAAAGAAGAGAAATTTTGCCAAATTGAGATAATATGCTAGATTTACTTCTCTAAATAATTTATGTGGGTCTTTGTTGTTTTTTTGTTTGTTTGTTTGTTTTGTGTGTGTGTTTTTGTGTTTTGTTTCTTTGGTTGAATAATTTCAGCCTTCTCTCTGTTCTCAGGGAAAAAATACGTTAAATACAGAATTTTACCAATTTAAGTTATTCTGTCTGCCGAGTTTTTAGCAACTTTGCCAATACCAAAAAAATAATTATGGCAAATATAATTAATTATAAACATATAGACAATATCAATATGCTTAATTTCACAGCTTTTTATAGACAAATTTATATTTGTAACAATTTGATACTTAAAAGAGCATAATCTTAAAAAAATACAACATTGCTAATAGAAGGTATTTAAAAACCATTAAATATATTTCAAGGTATTCCACAGACTACTGACAAGTATGAGAACCATTTATTTATTTATTTTTGAGATGGAGTCTCGCTCTGTCGCCAGGCTGGAGTGCAGTGGCGCGATCTCGACTCACTGCAATCTTTGCCTCCCGGGTTCAATTGTTTCTCCTGCCTCAGCCTCCCAAGTAGCTGGGACTACAGGCATGCACCATGACGCCCGGCTAGTTTTTTGTATTTTAGTAGAGATGGGGGTTTCACCACGTTAGCCAGGATGGTGTTGATTTCCTGACCTCTTGATCAACCCGCCTCGGCCTCCCAAAGTGCTGGGATTACAGGCGTGAGCCACCGCACCTGGCGAGAACCATTTATATTCTTCAGTTTATCTAAATCCCTGGTACAATTCTAGTACACTAGTGATTTCTACTACTTATTAATTCCAGGCTAGGGAATTTGATTGATAGTAATATTTAAGTCAATGTCTCTTAGTTATATCCAAGACTTACTTTAAAATTTTGTGAGAAGAGTGTATAAATTGTAGGATAACACATCATTTAATTTTTTAGTGACAGTTTAAACCCTTTTTCTACTAATAGTTAACATTTATTCATTTCTTTTCACATGCTAAATACTGCTTAGCATTTGCTACATACCCTTAGAAGATTTGGAAAGAATAGAAAATTGTCAAAAAATTAAGATTTAAAAAACCCCCACCGAAACAGAAGTAATTACTTGTTCTTAGTTTTACTTTATCTCATATATATACATGCATTATTTATTTACACACAGAAAAATTAAATGCAAAATTTGAATTTTTTATATAGCACTTAATCGTTATGCTTGATTGCTTATGAACAGAAGATGTAAGGATTAAGAAAATGAGTCTTTTCTCCTCAGAGACAGAATGAAGAGAAAAGGATCATAAAAGATTTCAAGGAATAGGGAACCTTTTGATACCTGTGGTGGTATGATTGACAGTATTTGCAATATAGATTATTAAAAATTATTATGTATATAAATATGGAAATCTAAAAAAATAGTTGAAATGTAACTTGTGAAAGTAAGTCTAATATGCGTAGACTTTTTAGCAATCAGTGATTGGTGTTTATATTTGTAATAATTTATTAATTTAAAATGTGTATATCTGGTGGCAGTAATAGAACAACAACAGTACAAGAGAAAATCTCCCTCTTTCACCAGTCTCCAGATCTCCTGTTAAGAAGACATTCCTGGCCGGGCGCGGTGGCTCAAGCCTGTAATCCCAGCACTTTGGGAGGCCGAGGTGGGTGGATCACGAGGTCAAGAGATCGAGACCATCCTGGTCAACATGGGTGAAACCCCGTCTCTACTAAAAATACAAAAAAATTAGCTGGGCATGGTGGTGTGTGCCTGTAATCCCAGCTACTCAGGAGGCTGAGGCAGGAGAATTGCCTGAACCCAGGAGGCGGAGGTTGCGGTGAACCGAGATCGCGCCATTGCACTCCAGCCTGGGTAGCATGAGTGAAACTCCGTCTCATTAAAAAAAAAAAAAGAAGACATTCCTACTGTTAATAGTTTCTTTTATTCAATTAGGTATCCAGTAGCCATCTCAAACTTTAACATGTTCGAAACAGAACTTTTGGTTTTTTCGTTTGTTTTTACTAAGTTTAGTCTTAGAGATTTGACCATCCACTAAGTTGCTCTAGCCAAAAAACTAGCGTTTTTCATTGATTCTTCTTACTTCTAAAGTATATTTTAAATCTTGCCTATTTCTTTCCACTGTTCCCACTTAAGTAAGTATTCTTGATGGTCCTTGACAAAACTTATAGTATGTAACTTAAAGTTTGAACTTATTTATTGTGTATTGTGTTTGCTTACTTTTTGTGTATCTTCTTTACTATCCATGTAAGCTCAGAGCAGACAGGAATGTTGACTATAAGTGTTGTTGCCAAACTTACCCCACTGCCTGTAAGTGCTTAGTTAATATTGAATGAAGAAAGGAATTAATGGATGGATGGATGGATCTGCCTGAAATTAGTTTTAGTGAAGAAGTGAGGTTGAAATCCAGATTTACTTTCTTCTTAATTGCCCAACCAGTTGTTGCAACATCAGCTTTCTCCATTATTTTGAATTACCATCTTTATAATATGCTATTGGTGATTTAGATCTATTTTTCTTTATAATATGTTTCTGGCATGTTTGGATCTAACTTTCTCCGATGTGCTGTTGATTTAACTATTCATCTTCTGATATTAAGCTTTATTACTGTGACTTTGAAATTCATTTAAATATATTTGGTAGAGTGAGTCCTCTGTCAAAAAACACATTTTTTTCCTGGGGTTTTTTTCATGTATTTATTTTTCCATTAGATATGTGGCTTTTAAATAAGGATAGTAGAAGCTGCATTTGCATCACTCACGTTTTGTTCACTTCGCATAAGAAATATGCAAGAAAGCAATAGAAATCACTGATTTGTGGGGAATAAGAATGGTATTCTTTTCATTCATGAAGTGAAACCTGAAAAGTTGATAGCATTTACTTATTTTCTGCGGACACTATAATATCCACTTGCCACATTCTCCTAATTTTAATTAAGTCCTTAGCTCTTCCCAAGTCCCTGTATCTCTTTGTTAAGACCTGTTATTTCAGGTAGGCAGGGGCTAAAATTTGCTCCAGCTTTCCTGCCTTTCTTCTTTGTGCTATTGTGTGGATCTGAAAGTGTTCTAAATTTACCATCTGCTATGTTAAAGCCTCATCAATGCTTAGGAGATAAACAGAAGAGTTGGCCAGGAACAGGAAGCCAGAGAATTTACCTGCGGACTTTGCAGGCTCATCACATCTTTAGCATATTCTGGGGAACATTAGCATATTGGGACAGTACGAGAGTTAGTGTCCTAGAGAACGTCTGTTCTGCTGCACTGAAACTCCTGAGTGCCTTCTGTCTGGTGAGGAATAACTGTAGCAGTAGTAATATGTTCGGCAAAGCAGCTCTAACTTACTGAAAATGCTTATCACACTTGGCAAGGTTGATAAGGCACTTTTCAAATGCTTTTTCTCTAAACAAAAACTTTGCATTTACCTTTGTGCCTTTCCTAAATTTAGGAAAACAGAAGAAATATATTTTAAGCAAAATGATTTTTAAAAAATTAGTTACATGGGCCAGGCATGGTAGCTGATGCCTATAATCCCAGCACTTTGGGAAGCTGAGGTGGGCACAACACCTGAGGTCAGAAGTTAAAGACCAGCCTAGCCAACTCGGGGAGACCCCATGAAACCCCATCTCTACTAAACATAAAAAATGAGTCAGGTGTAGTGGCACACATTTGTAATTCTAGCTACTTGGGAGACTTGAATCGCTTGAACTCAAGAGGCAGGGGTTGCCGTGAGCCAAGATTGTGCCACTGCACTCCAGCCTGGGTGACAGAGTAAGACTCTGTCTCAAAACAAAAAACAACAACAAAAAAAACCAAGTTACATGGTCTTCAGTGGTTATTTGGGGCATTATGTCATTTACCTGTTGCTGTTGCAGAAACTAATGGCTTTGAAAGTTTTTTTTTTTTTTTTTTTTTTAATTGAGACAGAGTCTTACTCTGTCATCAGACTGGACTGCAGTGGCGTGATCTCAGCTCACTGCAACCTCCACCTCCTGGGCTCAAGCGATTCTTCTGCCTCAGCCTCCCGAGGTAGCTGGGACTACAGGCACGTGCTACCATGCCCAGCTAATTTTTTGTATTTTTAGTAGACATGGGGTCTCACTGTGTTGGCAAGGTTGGTCTCTATCTCTTAACTTCGTGATCCTCTAGCCTCGGCCTCCCAAAGTGCTGGGATTACAGGCATGAGCCACTGCAGCAGCCCCATTGTGCTATTTCTTAAATTATTTAACTAATCTAGTGAGCCTTCCTCTTTCTTGCTGTGCTTTTTCCTTGTAACTGTGGCTAATTCCTAAAGCTATGCTTTAAGATCTTATCTATCTATATTTATTCCTCTAGAGAGGTTTTTTTTTTATGGCTTTACTTACCATAAAGGTTCCTAAATCAATATTTTGAGCCCCGCCCCCCACCTTTAGTTTTAGTTTTAGTTTCATATTTTTGTCCATAGAACTTTTCCAGTTAGTTGTACAACTGTTATCTCAAAATGTTAAAACTGAATATATTTCTAACCCAAATCTCCTTCCCAGTCTTCCTGTTTTTCTTTTTGACTTTCACATTTTCATCAATGGTGTTATCATTGTTTGATCCAGAATATATCAGTCATCTTTGATGTTTATACTTTTCATTCCACATGTACAAAT